TAATAATAATAATAATAATAATGCAATGTGAATTCAAAGGATTTTTTTAAATTTCTATTGCTTCTATCCATACTACATTATGCACAATAATAATAATAATGCAATATGAATTCAGAGCATTTTTTAAATTTCTATTGCTTGTATCCTTATTACATTATGCACAATAATAATAATAATGCAATGTGAATTTGGAGGATTTAAAAAAATTCTATCGCTTCTATCCTTATTACACTACGCACAATACAAAAAGAATGCAATTTATCTGCCCATCGTATGAAAGTTGATGTTAAAATGTTTTAAGTTACGCATTAAGTTACATAAAACAGTTAGGGAAAAAGGGGAACGTGCTCATTCTGGAATTTAAAATTGTTCTGTCTTCCACTGAACTAAAACTCACAACTTCTGATCCCTTGTAATCTCGCTTTAACACCACCACGCACATCCCTTGAGCGGTGCATCAATCGCACCAATTCACGCTGAGCTGCCAAAATTTCTGAACTTTTCATCGGCTGCGCTGAAAATTTAAGTGGCCTGGCTCTGAAATCTTTGCCCCCCCCAGAGGGGGGGGGGGAGATTTTTCCAGAAATTGGGGGCCATCTCTGAGCAGGGGGCTGGACTAGAAGATCTCCAAGGTCCCTTCCAGCTCTATTCTGATTGCTTGATGGATGGATTGAGAAGCCTTCGATAAAAGGCCAGGTTCATTTCGCTAACCACTATTGAACCACCATTATACGGTATGGGATTTATTCTATCAATGGTTAAATAATAAAAACGGAATTTAGAAACAGGGAAATAAAATAAAGATATCCTAAAAGAGATACATAAACATGATGACTAGTATGTTGAATATTATGTTAATATGGTATAATTAATTAGCATAATAGGCTGATATTACTATGTGAAATATATAGAATATGTAATAAAGGATGTTATAATTTTGATTATTCTATAACAAAGATGCTTGTTGTACCCAGACAACAACACACTGTTCAACTCAAGATGGAATGACTGTATAAAAATAAAAAACTTATTATTATTTTTTAAAAAAATTACAACTTATTTATTTCACCCCTTTTTCAGCAACATCTCCATGGTCACGTGATCCAAATTCAGAGGCTTGGCAACTGGCATGTACTTATGACAGTTGCAGGATCCTGAGAAGCTAAGTCACTTAACAACCGGGGGATGACTGACCGAACGACGGCAATGATTCACTTACAACAAATGCGGCAGGGAAAATCGTAAAACGGGGCGAAAAACTCACTGAATGCACTTCTCACTTAGCCACATAAAATCCTGGGCTCAATGGCGGCTGTACGTCGAGGAATAACTGCATTAGGATTATCTCGCTGGACGGAACCATCCAGTTCTCTCCCATTGTGGTCATAAGTCGAGGACCACCTGTCCTGAAAAGGGGGGGAGGGCGGGGGGAGATTTTTAACAGGTTGGTCCATGGTCCCACTTACTGGTCCAAGATGTCCCACAGCTGCTCAAAGACCTCGGGAGGAACATATTCCCTCGTCTGGGATCCCTGCGACATGCCGGAACGATAAAAGCTCTCCGTCCACGAAAAACGGCCGGGGGGATCCACGAACCTGCAATTAAGTTCGACCAATTAAATCCCGTTTTTTCCCCCCCTTTTTTCCCCCCCGGGATCTGCAGATCTCCAGTTCCACGCCATTTCCTCACAGGGAGAAGATGAAAGAAAGAAAAAAAAAATTAAAAGGCTTCCGAGGTTACAGATACGGATCATCAGAGTTGGAAGGGACCTTATAGGTCATCTAGTCCAACCCCCGCCTAAGCAGTTTTCAAAGGCACCCAGGAAACGAAACAGAACTACGGGGACCAACATTTGGGGTTTCTGCAAGCCACCGAGACCCGTTGCCTTTGCAAAGGCAGAACCTAGACTTTGAACTAACTAGGTTACGCGCTTCACACAGCAGGTTACTCTCTAGTGCGGGCGAATTCAGTGGAAAAAAATAATTGGTAAGACGTTTTCAGGGATGCTCTGGTCCAGGGATCTCTCGCTCTGTGTGTGTGTGTGTGTGTGTGTGTGTGTGTGTGTGTGTGTGTGTGTGT